ATCGTTAGTCTATTAAGTTAAAATAAAATTTTGAATTTCCTTAACAATTCAAAATTTTCTTAACATTAGTGTTACTATAGTGACTCTAATTTTACTAAAGTGACACGAATGTTACTATAGTGATACGAATGAGATTATTTTCCTTAAATTACTCAATACTCAAAATAAAGAATTCCACCATTTCAAATAATAACACAAACNTTACTATAGTGATACGAATGAGATTATTTTCCTTAAATTACTCAATACTCAAAATAAAGAATTCCACCATTTCAAATAATAACACAAACTCAACTCTAATTTTCACTTACACTACCAATTGCAAACCCTTAGACATATATTATGTAAAATACATATTTAATTTTCACAGTAACATCAAATATTTGTACTCAATAACACATTGACTTTTATAAAATACAAGGCAATAGGGTTTTTATAGTAAAATCAATTTTCGAAAGATCATAGTGAAAATACGATCCACAAATTGAAAATTTACAAAATTTTTAGTAGTAACACACTGTTCACAATTGAATTAGGACACTCAACACCAATCAAGAACATCAAGACATTGAAATTTTGAAATCCATATTCTAGTTATCAAACAGTAACATAATCTATTTCACTAATGTTAAGGANACCAATCAAGAACATCAAGACATTGAAATTTTGAAATCCATATTCTAGTTATCAAACAGTAACATAATCTATTTCACTAATGTTAAGGAAATTTTGTGAAATGATTTTAACTTAATAGACTAACGATCTATTCGTACACCAAACTACCATATATAACTATCAGAATATATAACTTCAATATAAAAATTTCGTTAATTATCATAATATTTAATAAATGGTTTTCATATGTAACTCAGTCCAAATTTTCATATATACTTCAATGATCTAATCTATGTGACCCATAACTGGACAAAACTAATACCGTTAAGGGTAATTTTGAGATTTAAAAAAATAAGTGGACTTAAGTACCTACATATAAGTTTAAACATGGACTTACCCCCAAATAAATTTCATTCCAAGACTCAAGTCATTATAAGTCTATCTAAGGGGACTCAACTTCAATTTTTACTATTAACTTTTAGGGTTGAGTTATAATTTTTGGAATTGGTTACCACTGTTGGGGTGAATTCTAATTTTTTTGGGTGGGGTCTAACTTTTTTGGATTAAATTCCAATTTTTTTGTCATCATTCCAACTTTTATGAATGATTANTGGGGTGAATTCTAATTTTTTTGGGTGGGGTCTAACTTTTTTGGATTAAATTCCAATTTTTTTGTCATCATTCCAACTTTTATGAATGATTAGGTTACAACTTTTTCGGTGAATTCCAACTTTTGTGGGATAGGGTTCAACTTTTTTCGGTTGAGTTCAAACTTTTTAGATGGATTCCATCTTTTGTGGGATGGGGTCCAACTTTTTGGGGCGGATTTTAACTTTTTTGGGATAAATTTCAAATTTTATAGATTGAGTTACAACTTTTTCGGTCAGTTTCCAACTTTTGGGTTGTGTCGCTTACAACCTTTTGGGATTGTTTCTTACCTTTTGGGGTAGTAGAGTTATTAACTTTTAGGGTGATGTTACAATTTTTGGGGTTGATTACCACTGTTGGGGTGGATTCTAACTTTTTTAGGTGGGGTTCTAATTTTTTTGGCAAGGTTCTAAATTTTATGAATGATTAGGTTACAAATTTTCAGATGGATTTCAACTTTTGTAAGATGGGTTCCAATTTTTTTGGGTAGTTTTTAACTTTTTTGGGTGGGGTTTATCTTTTTTGGGTTAGATTCTAATTTTTTTTGACTGGAGTTCCAACTTTGATAAATGATTAGCAATGCATAACGTGCGTTGCATATAAATAAATTTAAATAATATTTATTTATACAAAAATATGAATTATATGTGTAATTAAATTAAATAATAAATTATTTATCGAATAATTAATTCTTATTTTAATTATTGTTAAATTTAATTATTAATTTATTTTATAAGTTTTTTGTATATCTAATCTATCATTTATTTAGATATCTCTCTGACCCTTTTAGATATTTTCACATCTAATTATATATATAATTATTAAATTTTATTTTTTTAAATATATTTATTAGATTGTTTATAATATTATTATATTATTGTATACCAAAAAGTAAAATATAACATATATTTGGCTATTGAATTCAATCTGATTATTACATGTGTATACTAATTTAATATATATTAAACTTTACTTCATATAGATATAAAAAATTGTATGTAATTATACTATTAATAAATGAGTTCAGTAGAATTTATAAATCCTTATAAAAAAGTCCAAAACAAGTTGATAGTCAAATAGGAATAAAAAAATAAAAATGAGATGAAATTATAAAAATGGTATAATTAATTATTTACAATAATTAATGATAAAATAAGAAATCAAATTNTAGCATCGAAGTATTATTGTCTTTCGAAGGGGGAAGAAACAAACGCATACTCTTGGGATCTTAAATAATAGATTAAAAATAAACTGTTCAGACAGTCTCAAGCCCAAATAATCCGACTTTATCATGAGAAATAAACATGGTTATTGTACCAAGATAATCGGAAGAATCAAAATTTTCACTTTACCCCTTTAAAAATTAGATTTTTCATTTTAGACCCGACGTGATCTTGTTAGCTTTCGTTTCTCATTTCATTAAAAATTATTCCATTGATATTGACGGAATAAACAATAAAAGTTAATGAACAGGTCATATTGTAACAATATAATATATTGAGAGTGTAATATAAAAAATTTAATCTTTGAAGATACAAAATAAAAATTCTTGCTCTTGTAAAATCTTGTTAATGAACAGGTCACTATTTAATTTCAAATGACATAATATAATTATAAATTTAATCATCAAATAGTCAATCATTTTTATATATAAATATACATAGAAATACACCTACACACATTTTTTTTTTTTGACTACTAACAAATTATCTTAACCAATAACTACATTTATTATTGCTTGAGTTTTGACAATATTATACGGACACTTCCTCACATTTTATAAATAACACGGAGACTCTTGAGATTTGAAATTCATTGCATGGAGACCCCCTTTGTCCTCCTTTCGTCAGTGTTGCTAACAGAAATTAATAATTTCATCTTAAAGAACTTTATTATTTTTATAATTGTCCTTTTCCAAATTTAGTACCAAAAAAAATTAAAAATTTAATGAAATCAAATAAAATTTAATTTAGTACCCAAAAAATTGATATAATTTAGTACTCTAAAAAATTGATATAATTTAGTACTCCAAAAAATTGATTAAATGAATTTCAATATTTATTTGATAACAAAAAAAATTAATTTGATGATAATTCAACAAAGTTAAATATAAATTGGACAAAATTAAATGTCAATTTTTGATAAAATTATAGGATTATTTCATGTTGAATATTATTTGGTATTTATAGTCAATGTGCTATTTTTTATTTACATTAAATGTTATTTACAAATTAAGAAGCAAGTTGCAAAATATATGCCGTCAGATATGTGTAAAAATTTTGAATTAGTTTCATGGAATAAATAATTTAATAATTAATGTTTAATTAACAAAAGGGTAAAAATCACAGATATCCCCTGCGTTTTTGATAATATTACACGGATACCTCTTGATATTTTATAAATAACACGGAGACCCCTAAGATTTGAAATTTATTGCACGAAGATCCCCTATGTCTCCCTTTCGTCAATGTTGCTAACTAAAATTGATAATTTCAACGCAAAAAATTTTATTATTTTTACAATTGTCTTTCTCCAAATTTAGTACCAAAAAAATTAAAAATTTAATAAAATCAAATAAAATTTAATTTAGTACTCAAAAAATTGATATAATTTAGTACTCCAAAAAGTTGATTAAAAGATTTTTAATATTAATTTGATAAAACTAAAAATTAATTTGATATTAAGTCAACAAAGTTGAATATAAACTTGACAAAATTAAATGTCAATTTTTGATAAAATTATATATTAATCTACAATTTAAGGTTCATTTCATATTGAATATTATTTGGTGTTTATGGTCAATGTGCTATTTTTTTTATTTACATTAAATGTTATTTATAAATTAAGAAGTAAGTGACAAAATACATATCGTCAGATATATAAAAGCTTTGAATTAGTTTTATGGAATAAATAATTGCATAATATTTAGTTTTATCTGTTTTATAGAATAAATAATAACAAAAATAACACAGAGAAAAAAACAAGATAATAATATGGGAGAGAGAGTTATATGAGAGATAAAAGTCTTAGAGTTATAAAAAGAATGAAAATCCAATTAGAACCATCAGATCAAAACGATATGAGTCGCGAAAAACTCAACACAAACAATGTAGTTATTTTATTATATAGAATATCAAAAATTCCCGGTCTTCATGGGTCTCATTAAAACTGGTGAGAATCCAAGTCTTGATTTTAATTTATAGGGGTTAGTGTGCATCGAGCATGTAGAATTTTGTAGACAAAAAATAAATAAATAAATAAAAAGAGTAATGTTATTGGGAACTAAAAAAGTGATATAATTTGCAAACATAATGAAGAGTCAAGAAATGGAGTCTCAATGAAAAAGTTTAAGAGTTTAATAATGCTACGAAAATTTAAAAAATTAACCTAATTTGCTGACTTAATAATGTAGTAGTTTCGTGGTCCACTAGTGGTGTTGAGATTGTAACTCGGACTTCTTCATTGGGATTTCATCACTTGACATATTATTACTATATCAACAAATTAGGTCAATGTTNTTCTTCATTGGGATTTCATCACTTGACATATTATTACTATATCAACAAATTAGGTCAATGTTTTTATTTCTCAATAGCATTATTTCCACGAGTTAGTCATAATAAAACAATTGAACCATATCACTGTCACATCATTAAGTCAATAAATTAAATCAAATTTTTAAGTCTCAATAGTATTTACTTGAAAAAAAAAAATAGTAACTTAGATCAGGTCACAGAATGGAAATTTGTTTGCAGGGTAAGTGTCCATGGTCCAAAAAAGCCTAAACACAATGAAAGAAATTCCACTTTTTTTGGTCAAACTGGATACAGATTTGCAGTTAAAGGTTTTTCTTTAGCTCTAAATCTTCTTAAAGGGGTGGCACGGATGGTTGAAGCACAGCGAAGATAGAATGATATAGAGGGGCGGCTTGGGTATTGTTCATGGTTGAAGGATAGGGTTTTTTGAAAACTTGATTAATGAGATGGGGAAAGATAATTGGGAAGTGGGAAAAAAGTGGCAATAGGGATAATAGGCTTTATTGTAGGTTTTCTGCGGGCGAAAGCGTACCTTCCCACTTAGTACACATTGAGAAACCTCAATCTACCAGTCAAATTTTATACCATTTTGCAATTAACTGGTTTTCTAGTGCTACTTGTTGCAATTTCCAATTCAAATCAATTTGGCATCCAAACTGAGCAATAAAGAATGGAAAATAAAAAACTATTCATACATACAAAGAATCTTTGTGCAATGGTGCCTTTCTGAAAGAGGAAAATCATTCATTGAAAGTAGAATTCGTGGTCAACTGATGGTAAAACTGATTGAGAGATCTAGACACGTAGGAGTCAGCGAACAGGGCTTTGGTAAACAGCAGTATTTCCTTTCCAATTCGTCTGTGTTCAAAAATACGATGGGAGCTCATTTTCTTAAAATTGTAAATTGTGAATTGTGAACTGTGCTAAGTAAAAGAGTGCAATTGATATCCATCTTTCCTTGCTCTTCCTTTTAAATCCCTTTCCCAAAAGGGTTAACGTTAATCACACTGATACTTTTTGAGCTACTTACATATATCAATGCCTACATTGAGACTTCCCTTTCCTCTGAAATGCTGCCATTTCAAATATAAGAAAACTCATGATATACGTTTTCTTTGGGTTCTAATTGGTTGACATCTTTTGTCTAAATGCTAACAATGTAGGAAATAACTGATCAAATTAGATAGCCTTGAATTTATGTTGCCACTGAATAGGTGGAGGGCAGCACTGATTAGGTTTGACCTGCTCAAACATTTCATTTAGTTAATTGCCATGGTAAGACGGGAACAACATAGAGCTCGGTGGTAATGTGCCCATATGGTAAGTAAGACATGGTAATACTTATTATCAGTCAGGGAAAAATGAAATGGCAAAAAAGGAAAGGAAAGAAACAAAGAATTATTGCCTGGGGAATTTATGATGAATTAAGTCTGAGTATGTTTTTTGCCAAATAGATTTAAACCTTAGATTTTTCAAAAGCTGTAATTAGCAAACGTTGCGCATGGATGACCTTTTAACTGATATTATTCACAGAAAAGTGTGTAACAGCGAGGGGATGTAAAACTTGCATTGGAATTCATAAGATCAAAGGAAAGACGAAATGGGACATCAAAAGAAGAGTCCAAATATTGTTAGGGGTTTAGTCCTACTAATTACTGACTCAAGTTCTTGTGGTCTAAGCAATTTCAGCCTGCTGTGGTTTTTTAGTACAAATGGTATTGTTTTGTCAGAGATCTACTCAATTACAATATGAATGGTGAAAATCGAGTAACCAGACATTTTTCTCTCTTNTCAGCCTGCTGTGGTTTTTTAGTACAAATGGTATTGTTTTGTCAGAGACCTACTCAATTACAATATGAATGGTGAAAATCGAGTAACCAGACATTTTTCTCTCTTTCTAATTCACTTAAGAACTTTTCCAGCTTTTACATAGCTACTTAGCATGGCAACCTTAAATTTTGTGGCTTCTGGTGCATTCCTTACTTTCTCATGCTGTAGAATTCCATTTAATTATTTCCCAACTTCTGTGTTTGCACAAGCTTGTTGTCCCTGCAAATCACCACCGCTTGCATCTCAATTTTGACAATTTATTAAATAAAAATGTTTGCATGTTCTCAATTTTTTTTATTCTTCTTAATGTATAAAACAGTATAGGATTACCTTTATAACTTCCGTTTTAAAGTAACTTTGTTGAGGATCTGACAATTTATACCTTTACATTCTTAAGATCGTGTTTGCAGGGACCGTCGCAATGGAAGTTGTGACAGGCAACTCTTTGTTCAGAAAGATGGATGTACAAGGAATTGCTGAAGCAGCAGGGGTGTGTCTGGGAGCCATAACTTGTGCCGCAATGTTTGCTTGGTTCTCCAGTGCTCGCAGCAGAGTAGGCCGAATCTTCACTCTCAGTTGTAACACGTTCATTGATTCATTAATCGAACAAATTGTCGATGGCTTATTTTATGACGGCGAGCCTAGTGACCGGTCTGATGAGATGTGAACAATAAGTGGAATCATGAAAGGGAACAGGGTATCCATATTCCCAAATTTGCTCATTTTGTAGACTGTAATATGTGGATACCCTGCATGTCATTTGTTCTAGATAAGATAATTAGTTTTCTTAGATGCGATACGAACACAGATGTATAAATGCAAGGAGGGAGGATGAAATGGGAATGCCATAAACTTGATAATTCCTCCATGATCCTGTGAAGGACCAAAAGTGCGATAGTCATTTGTAAAATAGGCTAGATGCAATAAAGAGATTTATTGTGAAGGATGCAGTCACTGCTGCTTTTTCTATTGTCTTGTTTTTATGCTGCATTTTAGATTTTTTCCATCTATTTTCTTGTTATTTATTTATTTATTGGTGTTTCGGGAGGAGCCCGGTGGGGTCGGTGGATTATGTTGTATGTTTGGGAAAATTCTGCAAATGGTATTTTTGGCTTGAATAATTCATCCCGTGTAAACCAGATAGTGAAAAGCAGCTGATTNTATTTATTTATTTATTGGTGTTTCGGGAGGAGCCCGGTGGGGTCAATGGATTATGTTGTATGTTTGGGAAAATTCTGCAAATGGTATTTTTGGCTTGAATAATTCATCCCGTGTAAACCAGATAGTGAAAAGCAGCTGATTGTCAGCAGCTTTTATAAATTAGTTAATATACACATTCCTTGTATGTATTATTGATTTTTTGGTTTTTTTTTGTGCATGTAAAATACAAGGAAAGAATCTTCTATTAGCCATAATTGTTAGCTAATGTCGAGTACTTACACAAATTTCATAAAAATATTTCATAAATTTAAGCTTGTAGATAGACCACTAGCTTACCTAAACAACTCATAACAAGAATTCCATTAGACCAACTTAGGCAAAGCTAGTTGTTCCAGAGTTGTCATTTCAGTTACACATCTAGCATATGGACTAAATAATTTCAAGACAAGGTTCGACTAAGTCGCACGAGTTGCATTGAAAATAGGGTCAGGGTTAGCAAGAAGGGCTAAATTATCTCTCGGGTGCAAGACCCGGTGATTTGAATACGCACTCTATTGGTATTGAGTTCATAAAGTGTGTTGGCGTACGCGGAGCTGTTGGTANATGAGTTGCATTGAAAATAGGGTCAGAGTTAGCAAGAATGGCTAAATTATCTCTCGGGTGCAAGACCCGGTGATTTGAATATGCACTCTATTGGTATTGAGTTCATAAAGTGTGTTGGCGTACGCGGAGCTGTTGGTAAAAGTCTACAAATACTCACTCCAAGAAAGATCCGAAATTTATAAATGGTCATAAGATGTGTAACATTAATGATGGGGGCTAAGAATGTCCGGATTTACACACATGACATTGCATGTGTTTATGGGAGTCAGTGGAGGGCTTGAGTTACATTGTATGTGTGAGTCTCACCTCATAATATGGTACGATATTGTGACATTCATTTCTTAAAATTTTANTCACGGGGGCTAAGAATGCCCGGATTTACACACATGACATTGCATGTATTTATGGGAGTCAGTGGAGGGCTTGAGTTATATTACATTGTATGTGTGAGTCTCACCTCATAATATGGTACGATATTGTGACATTCATTTCTTAAAATTTTATACTCTTGAATGGATGTTTGTTTAATTGTCAAATTGCATGTGAACATTTTACATGTATTTGGGTTGAGGAGTAGTCTCTTTAGGAGATACCCTATTAAGCGTTACTCACCCTTTATGGGAACAATATTTTAGGTGCAGAACAAGCGTCGATGGACAACCCTCACATGGGTCCTTAATGAGAAGATGTCAAAATGTGGCTTTAAATTACATTTTGTAAAGCACTTGTGTAGTTTATTTTGAATTATAAATGGTGGTAAGAGAACATATAATGAACTCTTATGGATGGTATTTTGTGTATTCTTAAATGGTANTATATGTGGGTTGAGGAGTAGTCTCTTTAGGAGATACCCTATTAAGCGTTACTCACCCTTTATGGGAACAATATTTTAGGTGCAGGACAAGCGTCGGTGGACAACCCTCACATGGGTCCTTGATGAGAAGATGTCAAAATGTGGCTTTAAATTACATTTTGTAAAGCACTTGTGTAGTTTATTTTGAATTATAAATGGTGATAAGAGAACATATAATGAACTCTTATGGATGGTATTTTGTGTATTCTTAAATGGTATGTGAGTTTGGATGAACTCGGTATGAGATTGGGTGAGTTGAAATTGAAAAAAGAAAGATTTGGGAGAAAATTGGGCCCTCGTACCAGTACCAAGTTGATTAGATACCGGTACCACGATTTCAGTAGGCTCAGGTATCGGTACTAAGGATTAAGGTACTAGTACCTAGTTGTTGAGGGCCAAAGTATCGGTACCACATTTATTGGTACCGGTATTTGGAAAGCAGAATGCTCAGGTATTGGTACCAAGTACACGAGGTACCGGTACCTTTTCCAAAATTTTTAAAAATTTAAAATAACCTTGCCAAGCCTCTAGTTCTTGAGCCCTTTTGTTTAAAGAATGTATTTGATTCAATATTAAGTGTAAATTGATAGGGAGTGGACCTTGTAATGGTCAAGTGATTGATANGCAGAATGCTCAGGTATTGGTACCAAGTACACGAGGTACCGGTACCTCTTCCAAAATTTTTAAAAATTTAAAATAACCTTGCCAAGCCTCTAGTTCTTGAGCCCTTTTGTTTAAAGAATGTATTTGATTCAATATTAAGTGTAAATTGATAGGGAGTGGACCTTGTAATGGTCAAGTGATTGATATGTATACAAGTTATATGTTTGGGAGTGCTCTAGTACAAGGGAGACTCTGCCCAAATTCTATATTGGTTACGATCTCAGTGAAGGGGATGTGATGATGTGGTGTCGGATTAGCAGCATTCACAGGTACTTTTGCGGGTTGATGGGTGATCAACAAGTTGATAAATGACCCCCCAAATTTTGGGACATCACAGCTTGATATCAAAGCCTAAGTTCTCGATTTTATCTAGGGCTTGCGGGGCATGAGTCTAGACCATTGCATGTATTATGCATTACATGTTATGTGCTTTAAATGCTACATGTTATGTGCTATGTCAATCATATGCATGATTAAATGTGTATGAAAATAAAACTCTAGGATTAGAAAACATAACCTTAGGGGTCAAAAAAGAAAGAACGAGAAGGTTTATGGTATGAGTGTCTACTAGTGGGTGGGACACATCTTACTAGTGAGACAAGGAGAGAAAATTCTTAATGTTTTGACTTTGATACTTACTTCGAGATACTAAGTTAGTGTTTTATTGCTATCTTACGTGTTTGTAGATGGCAAATAGAGGAAGAGGATATCGAAACAATCGAGGGGGTGGGTGGAACAACAACCAACCGCCATTGGTCTTTGACCAACAAGCCTTCATGGAGGCTATAGGCACAATGGTGGCTATCTTTGCACAAGCTAGTGTTAACGTGGGCCAAGGGGGCTCGAGTAACCTCCAAAAGTTTAACACACATAAGCCACCTACTTTCATAGGAGGGACGAATTCGTTGGTGGCCTACCATTGGTTCCAACAAGTTGATAAGATCTTAGAGACTATAAAGATCACGTCCGATACCACTAAGATAAGGTTAGCTGCGTTCTAGCTTGAGGGGGAGGCCCATCTATGGTGGGATTGAGCAAAAGGCCTTGAAGAATCTAGAGGTAATGATACAGGGAGAGTTTTGGGAGCTCTTCATGGGCAAGTATTTTTCATCGGTTGTTCGACAAGCGAAAGCCCAAGAATTCTTGGATTTAAAGCAAATGAATATGACAGTAATGATATACGTGACTAAGTTCACTGAGCTAGTCCGTTTCGTTGATGATTATGTGGCCACAGACTTGGCTAGAGTGAGGAGGTTTGAGAATGGGTTGAAGTTGTCCATCTGGGGAAAGATTGTGGGCGACCGCCTACAAGACTTGGACTTAATGGTCGAGACGGACATGACGAGAAGGAAGTGGAAGATGCCAAGAGCATTCGGGAGGCGGGTGCATAAGATAAGAAGGAGGGTCAATCCTTTTCTTCTAGATCGGGGAAGAAACAGAAGACTTATATGCCACAAGGATATCAAGGACAGGGCCACAGCTATCAAGGCCAAGGCCAAGGTTAATCCTCCCAGGGTGGGAGAAACTTTAGGGCTTTATATTAGGCTGGTCAGAGGACTTGTTTCATATGCCACCAACGGGGCCACATGAAGCAGGATTGTCTTAAGAGGCAGGGATTCCAGAGTTTTGGGGCATCTTAGTCTCAATCATTGGTGGGGCATCCACATACTTATTTCATTCCTCCCTATCCCACCATGGGCAAGGGAAGTTAGTTCCAATTTTAGTGTGCTGCACATGTCCCAACTACTTCACGAGCGAGGACTCCACAAACAAGTCAGATGGGCAGAGCTTATAGGACGGGACTTCGGGGACCCAGGGGTGGGTGATATAGGGTACATTCTTACTCTCTCGCTTGTGGGTAAGGGTATTATTTGATTCTAGTGCATCATATTCATTTATTTATGTATCATGTGTAAGGGATTTGGGCTTAGAGGTTGAGACCTTAGAAGAGCTATTGCATGTGAGTTCTCCTTTGGGAGCTAGGGAATGCATTGATCAGATATGTCAGGGTTGTGAGTTAGAGATTTCGGGGATTCTACTGCTTGATCATTTTTCCTAATCTCCAAACATGAACCCGGATTGTGTATATATGGCTTATACGAGTTGGTGAGTGTCACTCTCCCTCGGGTTCAAAAGCTAGAAATGGGGAAAATCGTGTGGATGAACAAAAACGTGTGTGTGTGTGTGTAAAAGTGCTCCCCAAGCGTAGAGAGACTTCAAATGTCTTGTTTTACTTGGAATGGGTATTTCAAGGTTGTCTCCTTAGGGAAGGAAAGGTCAAATGCTTTTGAAGGGTGATTTGTAAAGAAATGAAAATTAAAAAATCTTATGAGTTGTGTTTTGAGAACTATGCAAGAAAGCAAGGTTGACTAATCCATAGAGGTCATTCCAATAGGAATGTCAAATCGATTCAATTCATTCAACCAATGGTGTCTTGTTGTTTGATTGATTCATAGGAAGTGAGGAACTAATGTGGTTGTGTTGGACAAAAGCATACCCCGTGACAAGTCCATATTGTATCAAGAGCCCACAACCATGTTCACACTCAACTTAGTCAAACCAAACACTTTACACTACAAGGATGAATGAAGGAGAGTCGATTTTACATACCCAAGAGAAAATTTTCCTTGGATTAGCCAACTAAAGTTTAGCTACTCATAGTAAAGGCAAAAAAAAAAACATAATGTAAAGAAATATGGTAGTGAAATGAAACATGAAACTTGTATTGATGCAAGAAAAGTTTTAAACTATAAGAGTAAAAACATTCATACCCAAAATACAAA